TAGTACAGTACTTCTGTGACACTCTAGTCACATTACAAAATAATAAATCAGGAAATATTCTTCCCAAATGTAAGAACCCAATAATATCGTTATTAAAACAAACAAAAGGGAAAGGCAAAGCAAAAAGGCTGCTTCTCTTTCTTTAGGATTTATAAAGATAGGGTGGGGTTTTTTTCTCCGAATCTTTCCACTTAAGAAAGAAAAAATAAAAATCTTAACAATGACTCAGTACCATAGCATTGTATTTCTTCCTTTATTTGTGTAGGATGAGTATCTAACGTTTTCTACCTTCTGAAGCTATTCCTTCTCTCTTTGAGTTCTTGGCGTTCTCAAGGCATTTGTTTTTTTGTGTATCTGCCCTGTTTTAAACAAATGCTGTTGCTAATTAGTGGAAGTGCTGAAGATGCTGACGTTTGTTTCTTGCCCTCTCCCAGGAGTGCCTCATTTATATGAGGAACAGAAGATAATTTTTTTTCAAGACTTTCCGTTGGCTTTTCGTTCAGGGAGGGGTATGGCCCTTTTCACCTCAACTTGAAGAAGTTTTGTAGCACTTTTTAATGCCTGACTTTATCATCATGCTCGTGCCTCAGCCCTTGCTTTGTGCAGGGACTGGAGAGGGTTTGGTGGTGATTGAAAGAATTCAGAGTTAAAGTAGTGCTCGGCATCCATCCTGGTTCTCTCGTTAATCTCTTGGCATCTTTCCCTCCAAAGTCAAGATGGCGTAAATGGTGAAGAGCGTTTTTTAAATTATTTTAAATTGTATAATTAAATGTTACTTAAATGAACTCACTTTAAAGAAAAAAATGTTTAAGGAGGAAAAATTATTTGTGGCATGTCCTGGGCAAAGTCTTCTCAGACTGGTTTACCTCCCTCAGTTTTTCAGTTGCTCAGAATTTAGGCTTGATTTGTTCTACTCCTAAAAAATGTGGGTTTGTGACTTAAAGCCATCACAAAGACTTCTTAGGAGGCTGTGGTTCAGGTAATTTTTCTGATATCTAATGGTAATGTTAAAGATGCAGGAAATTCACTCTGGATGCTGTGTCTTCCTGGTCTATTCCATCCAAGCTGTTGTGAACCTGGAGGACCATCTCGTCAGGCCCTGCGGAACTCATCTCGCACAAGTTAGAGAAAAGCAAGGAGGTCAGCGTCAACACAGTCTGATTGCAAACCCCTTGTCATTGGACTGAGAATCTCACTCGCTTTGTCTCTGCAAATCTCTCAGATTTTTCCGATGTAAAGACATTGAGTGGAAAAAGATTTTTCTGCTTTCACCCAGAAATGAAGAGGGCAAATACCGGAAATGTTTCTTCAACAAAACAACTGTCTTCCATGGACGTTTCAGTGCTGATCATCCTCCACATGAAGAACGTTGGAAAACCGAGATGTCATCAAATTATCTTCGTTATCGCTACAGCTTTTTGGAGACAAGCCGGTGCTAGCAATCAGGAAGCCTAAGCAGTTCTGATACTCTTGGAGCTTGTTCTGGCTACCCTGGAGAATTTAACAGCCAAATATATTCCCTCTGAAAAGTCCTTGGGGATGTTGAAAGACATACAGGATATGTGTCATTGCCTGCTCATTCTTGACATTATCATGTAATTTTGGTTTAATCTTAGTAAATTGTAGAAAACAGTTTGCTTTAGGAAGAGCTTGTAAGCCCTTGTGGGAGGAAAAGAGCAGCAGAAATGTAACATTAACATCTGCACAGGCTTGCGGACTTTCAGGAACTTCTCCAGAGATTTTGCAAGCCGAACGGATTCAAACCCTGGCTGTGTTTATTAAGTATCCGTTGGAGTACTTTCCCAGTTTCATTTTATCGTATTTTTGTCTCTGACTGTTTTTTCCCCAAATGTACTGCTTTTGTCATATCCATCAGTATCAGGTTTGAGTTTCTTTATTTGTATTCATTTTGTATCACCTGTTTTTCTTTGTAGCTTGCACCAGGTGCCATTCCCGTAGGTATTGGGTATTATGTTTGCAAAATTACTTTTTGTTTTAATTGCATGATTGATTTATTTCCCTCTGTTGTCCTTCGTTTTTCTCTGCCCTGCTGGTGTTTGAGACTGGGGCTGTCCCTTGTTTTGTGAAGCCTGCAAAGAACCCCTTAAACACGTGGAACCACATTCATTTAGCACATAAAGTTGTATTGTGGTTATGTTTTGATTGCTTTATATTCATTAAATAATTACATGTCTTTATAGAAATCCTTAAGTATTACAAAAAGTATTTTTCTAATTTAAAAAGTACCTACTAGTCAGTTTGAAGTGTGTAAACCGTATTGGGTTTGAACTGCATGCTTGAAATGGTCCTTGCAGGTTGCATGTGTATCTTTTGTGTGAATTCTGATAGTTTTCTACTTAAAATTATATACTGAACAATTTACCAGAGACAGGCTAGTCTGCGTGACCCAGTAATGTAGTCAGAAATCACAATGCTTCAGTCCAGGCCCTGAAATAAAATAATAGTTTAAAAAATTACAGTATTGGAAATAACGTTGGCATCGTAGATAGATTGTTTCCCAGAATTGTGTTCTCTGACAGGATCTGCCACATAAAATGTTCACAGTTAAGTCGAGCTGACTTTCTTTCAGCATAAAATGTGATAAAAATGTAAAAGCATAACAATGCCAAGATTGAGGAAATAAATTGCTTTGTAGGTCCGACGTGGACGGAAGGTAGTAGAAATAGGCATTGATTGCAGTAAAGGCAATTTAACTTACACATTAGGATAAAAATTTGTGATACAAGAGTAGCTAAGGAGTAGGATAGATTGCTTCAGGAACGTATGGGGTCGCCATCATTGGTTTTTTCTCAAGAACAAATTAGGGGGGAAAAAAAAAGTGTTTATTAGTGTTCAAAATGGCATGACAAGCAAGAACTCTAACAACTAACCAGGGTTTTTGTAAATTAAATTTTTGACTGACTGTAGTGTCTACAAAGTGAACAATCATTGGCAATTACCTTCTGTAATTTTTCATGGAGGAAGGAGATTGCTGTTTGCATTGCTAGCTGTAAAATGAATTTTAATTTTACTGAAAGCTGGCATAGTCGCAGCAAAGCTTTAGGCATCAGGAAACCACTCATTTGGAACACTTTGATATTTCTTTCATGTAGCTTTCAGCAACTGAAATAGTTTCTCATTTAAATAGTATAATCTTAGCCTTCCAAAACGTGTGTGTTAGAGTTCTTTTGGCTTGCTAAAATGAGTTTCTGTTTCTCCTTCTGTTGTACTAATCTGTCCTCGTAGTTGTTATTTATGACACTTAGTGCATGTTAGAGTTAGCTCGAGTGTTTATGGCTGCTGTACTGTAGGGACTGGGGAACCTTCCCGTGGTCTGTTGTCCTTTTTTAATGATGTAGGAACGACAACAATGACAGGGTAGGAGTTAATCTCCTAGAAGCGTTTTGGATTCAGGTTGAGAAAATGTCCAAAGAAGAAGAAAGTAATGCTACTTTTTGAATAATTTGTTGAATTCAGCTATTTCTGACCGTGTTGTGTCCCCTACTCTGTGCGGGTAGGTTCTCTAGAACTCTGTTGAAAAGTATTTTTACCAGCTGCTTTCCAAGTTACTCCTTGTGCAGCCACTGGATTTTCTGTTATGTTTTATTCATGGTACTAGTCCTCTGATTCCTCATCTCCACATTTTTTGGGGCAGTTCAAATCAGGTTTTACAGGACTGGTCTCCCAGCCTTTGGCATTTTGCCTGATCACATCTGCATTCCTCTTTTGTAACCTCACCTCGTATAACAGAAATAAACTCAATAACTAATGACTGAGAGTAGCACATTAAGTCAAGTTATATTAACCAGATTACATACAAGGACACAGAAATGTTTGTTAGAATACTGTAGACAGTAAAAGGTAATGTGGCTTATTTTAAAATGTAGCTGTAATGTAGTGACACTTGCAGTCTAATCAGTTTAATAACTCAATAGCATCTTTAAAGAGATGGAGGAAGATGTTGAGATATTTCATCCCAGTCACGATTCACGTTTCTGTCATTTTGACAGCACACACACCCCAGAGAAGTGCCTTAGTTTGTGGGGCTTTTCAGAACCACCAGGGCCTACAGAGCTTAAACACCCTTTTACGTTTCATTCTTCTTCCCCATACTCTTACAATTTGCCAACCATGCTAGGAGAGAGGATGGAAATGGAAGGATGAGTTCCTGAGTGGTTGCTCAGGATATCTCATGAGGCATTGCCCTATCTTCACGTTGTCACGTGGTTTTGAACGCAGCGTTAGAACTGCAGAACCACTCTTGGTGCTCACCCAGTTGTACATGGAGCCATCCGGATCTGGAAGCTGTGTTCCCAGCAGGCTACCTGGGGAAGTCATGAGTAACAAATTTACAGTGCCTTGACTTGGTTTTCTTTATTTCCCTCTTTACCTTAAAACGTTACTTCCTATTGAAACTTATAAGACAGTTGCTTTACTATGGTTTTCACCTGATCAACTGAGAGATTCATAATTCTACATCAATGTATTTTGATTCTTTTTGAGACACAAACAGAATCTCTGAACAGCATCTATTTAGTGATATACTTCAACATGTATGATTATCTATCTTCGTTGCATCAACCCAACTGTTTTATTGCTCCATTGATCAAGATAAGTTTTGGTTTTAATATGGTTGAAGACAAATGCTTGAATCTGGTTTCTTATATTGGTAAGTTAGACTTGGCTTTAAAATTATTGTTTTAATGAAAAGAAGTATCATTTAAAACTAGCAGATACAGGTATTTGTTTACCATTGGATTTACTTACTCTATAGGTTGAAGTGTATTATTTAATACCTTTTTCATCAAGATGACTGGATTTTTATATCAGCAGTGTTACTTTTTACATTTTTTTCTTTTTTACAGTTTTTTAGTTAGTCACAGTATCTGTACTTCCTACTTATTTAAAAACAAGCAGTTGCATTGAGTAATTGGAAACTTAATGGTATATCTGAATTTATAATAAAATGCTTGTTTGTTTTTTTTTAATGTTGTTTAAAGACCAAGGATCCCCAGCTCCATCTCTTTCTGAACGATTACAATACGTTTTTCACTGTGACTCAGAGTGGCATCACCCGCTACCTCACACTGCTGCAGCCTGTTGACAGAGAGGTCCAGCAGCTTTACACTTTCTCGGTAAGCTAAAGGCACGTGAAGGCACACTGGGCATTGTTCAGAGCAAGTGTTGAAAAATTATTAGTTATAACATCATTGTAGATCGTTAAAATGGCACAGAAGAAAAAAAAAACCAACCCACAGTGAAGGATGAGCAGCAGCAATACTGGGGTGGGGGGGGAGTTGATAATTGGGGTAGTGTCCTCTTCCAAAATGCATGTGTTTGGTTTCATAACAACATTTTACATCCCCTTCCCAGCATCATCTCCATGGTCCCGGGCTTGGATCCTCCTCCTCACCGACCCTCCCCTGACACAGTATGATGCTTTTCTTCCGTTCTCGGCATGGCCTTCGAGGTCACTGTTGCCTTTTCTTTTCTCGACCCTTGAGCTGGGAACATGACACCTGTAATGGCCTTTCTGCTTTGTTTTAGCACGAACTGAAAAAGAAGGCTAACATAAACCACAACCAACAATATTTTTTAAAAAAAAATAAAAAATTAAATGAGCTTCATACTGCCTCAGGCATTTCCCAGTCTGTGAATAAACATCTTAACACCCTGAAAGCAATTTGAAAATGTGCTGTAGAGAAACCCTGTTCCTCTGATTTTTAGTTGTCGTACTGTATTTTCTAGTAGTTGGAATTGTATTAAGAACACACTGCTAAACTATGTTCTTGTTCTGCTCTTTTTTTACCCTAAAGATGACAGCTTCTGATGGTGTACAGGAGAGTGTCGCAGTGACAGTCAATATCCTGGTGATTGATGCAAATGATAATTCCCCGACGTTCTCCAATATATCATACAATGTCAAGATTTATACAGATATGAGGCCTGGGGAAGGCGTTATAAAGGTAATTTCAGGTCTTTTTGCTAGCTTTAACTCACTTTGTGTTAGCAGTAGATGGTCTTGTTAATACCATTTGGAAATAAGCTGAAAACAGCTAGAATTGAAGCTTGTGTATCTCCATTCACTGCATTAGTTACATAGCTATTAAAAAGTTGCTAGTACTAAAAGATAGGCCTGTCTTAGATGTATAGCTGCAGTTCAGCTGTTTCATCTGAAGTTTTATAAAACCTTTCCATTTGAAAAATCTCAAAAGAAAAAAATATTCTCCTGTATTAGCGGGGTATTGAAATAAAACATTTTGGGAGAGCGAGTAAACAGTTCAGTAGAACACAACCAGAAATATTTCACCTTGTCATTAAACCTTTTGGTTTTTACAGAAGCCTAAGTCGTTTGTTTGTAGAGCAAACGAGCAGTGAAAAATGTGTGGGACGCAGGCCCAGAGAGAGAAGCAGTTTGCATTAAAGTTTGCGAGCACTGATTTACGTCTCACTGCAGACTGGAGGTGAATCCTGATCACACTGAAGTTAATGGAAAAAGGCTTTTTTGGGTGGTAATGCTTCTAAGATCTCAGCCATGCTCCTGAGTGCTTCCAGTCTAGATGGAATGGAAGACAAGATGCTTGTAGTGGAGCTTGGCATTCAAGGATGGTAGAAAGTAGTGGGAGTATTGGGAAAAAAAAATAATTCATCAACTGACTTAAGTAATAAAATACTATTTTCTGAAATATAATCAGGAATTAAGCACTTGAAGGTAGCAGTGATTTAACGTTATTAGGAGAGAGTTCCGTGTCTGTTCTGGCATATGCCCTACTTGAACTGTATTGACTTGCTGCATTTGCTGTCTTCGGATCTTCGTTCAAGTTATTCTTGTCTTTTCATCAGTCTGGGCTACAAGTGCTTAAAAAGCATCAGTGAGAACTGGAGGACATTTTCAGCAAGACTTGAAGGAAAGATAGAAGTTTTAAACATAACTAAGTTCCTTCAAGCTATGCACAAGGCTGTGTGGGGGGGAAAAAAAAAGGAGACCAAATACTGTTGTCCTGAATGAGCAAAAGGCAGGGAGAGCTCAGGAGCTGTGTGTAGGGTTTGACATCAGGAACTCTATTTGCAACATCTCGTAAACTCCTATCTGCCTGTATAAACATGTGGATTTTGTGAGTACGATACATTCATTAGATATTTAAGGTACAGAGGTACATACAGTGCTGAAAAAATTTAAATCAAGGGGTTTTTTTTTCCTAAAGTATAAGCACTGTAGTCCAAAAAGAAGTTGTTAGGGTTATCACATGGCTTCTGTTGTGCAGGGCATAAGGCAAAGTAGTGTGCTATGGATTTAAAGTTACCTGAATATCTAAATGGTTTTTCCTCTTAAAGGAGCATGTGCCAGGAAACACGAGGCAGGACACGATGCTAGATGAGATTGCAGCATGTGTGAAAAGAATGGTTTCAGTACCCAAAGTTGGCCGTAAGGATGCTCTGAGCTACCTGAGTTGTGTTTATGACACTTGGGGTGGAGCAGAGCAGCTACCGTGCTTTCTGCAAACAGCTGTAATGCTGAAGTACTTCTGTGTGCAAAGGGAACGTGCTGTTCTTGAGTTCTGAAACACTTTCTGGTTTTCAGCTGCAAATATTTTCTGACCCTGGAGGCATGCAAAGAGCAGGAGTACAAATTCCTTAGTAAATTGTTCCTTCTGGGAAAAAGCAAGAGGGCGGCTCTGCAAGGCCATCTGCGTTAGCCTGTGCCACCGGAATTAGCTCAGCCGAGACACAAATTTACTTCTTTGTGAACACGTTTGGCCTGAGAGACCATTATATTATGTTCCTGCTCCTCCACTGTCCATCACAGCAGTTACCTTTTGCCTTCCCATGCTGGCACTGTGTAACTGCTTGTATAAAGAGCATCGATCGGATCAAAGAAATGATGCAGATTAGAAATATTGCAAGGACGGAAAAGGGTAAGGGCAGAAACGGTAAGAAGAAAAGTGTAGATGTAAATATCGTGCAGAGCATTTGCACTTAGCTAATGCCTGAAGTAGATCTGGAACATGTCCCTTCTAGAATGACATTGTGAAGTTGGAAGTGAGTAGTGGGGAAGTCAGGCCTTAAACTTGACTTTGCTAAAAACTTAACATTATTTTGGAAAGTGTAAGAGTTCTGAGAGCAAGGGATTTTTTTTCCCTCCTCCACACTTCTGTCTGCAAGGTCAACACGTGGTTACTTTCAGACTATGTGAGTATTTAATGTAGCTAGAGATGGAGGATAGAAAATTCTGGCTGTTTTGGGAGAAGGGTTGTTTTTCAACTAATCCTTACGTTGCCAGATGATCTGAGTTTATAAACTAACTGACAAAAAAAAAAAAAGCTGGGAGTCATCTTAAGATTTCTGCTACTGTGAGAATGCCAGTAATAATGATTTCAGGCTGCTGGGGTATTTGAGAGGTTGCTCACATCTTGCAGGCACTGGGTCATTCATTCAGTGTTACAGGAATGTGAGAAATGGGATTTGTCTGGTGGAGTTATGAGTAGCCACTGACTCCATGGTGCCACGAACACCCACAGCTTTCCTTAGGCCAGGAAGGTGGGAATGTGCTGCCTGATCACTGTTTGCTTCTGCTTTATAAATACCTTCTCGAATAGAAAACAGACTTTTTTTTTTTTTAAACTGCCAATACAGTGATTTTGATATACTTAGCTTGTTCTGTGTATGTGCAACAAACTCATCCTGTAAGCCTATCTCATCGTTGGTTTAAGAATCATTTGAGATTCTCTGCTGTGAGATGACAATCAGCTGTGATAGTTCCCAGAGGAAAATGACCCAGGTTGGACAGATTAGTCTGTAAAAACCACTTTCTCTAATCAGGGAGAGTAGGTTAGAAAAAGAACAGTGACCTCAATGAATCTGTACAATCTCATAATCATTTACACATCAGCGCTGGCTTGCACTTAACTCTCTACTCAGAGATGATCAAGAAAGTATTTCTTTTATGAAGTATGTCATCTTTCTACAAAAATGCAAATTACTGGTATAGCAGTGCAAGTGCTCTCATGTAATTGCCACTTTGCTTTTATTACACCAAAGGTAACAAGGGCTTAAGATTTTACTTTTCTTTTTTTTACCGAGTACAGTTGTGTGAAAATTTACAAATAACCTCAGTTTGTACTTGCTTGTTGTCCCATTTTGTGGGAAATTGTTTTGATTTTACTCCTGGGAAAAAAGCCCCAAACGTGTTAGTGAATAGTTTAGATTGTGTTTGCTGTCTGGTACACTCTTCAAAAAAACTAAGTAAACTAAAAAATCCTTAGGCTCTGCTTGAAAATAACCACTAATAGCAGGAAAAAAAACTTCATTACAAGTGAAATTCAATTTTTTTTGTTGTTCCAATTTTTTCTCCCGCCCCGGGTGGTTAGAGCAAGGCATTTTCCTCCTTTTCCCTGTTGCCCTGTCAGAGAAGTGAGCACAAGAGTTGAAACAAATTTGTGTGCTACTGAGCGGTGCTGGTTTCATCTGGGAGCCTGGTGGCGGTGGGTCATCTCCCTTTTGCCTTCCACTTGTACGAGAGCGCTGCGGCTTTGCACGGCTGCTTGGGTGTTTTTCAGAAAGTTGGAGGGTATCATGAGAGAGGAGCTTGTCCCCTTTGTAGGAACAACCTCCCTCTGCTTTCTGAGGATACCCGGTGGAGCACAAGCTCTCTGCTCCCTGACTGCTAGGGCAGGGCTCTGGCAGTGCCACCGCCATGTTGAACACCGAGTTGGTTCAGGAAGTTTGTATTTCAGTTGTCCGCGCTGAGTATTTATGAGATTGGTTGAGGAGAGTATTTTCTCAATTAAGTTTAAATGTCTGTCTGTTCTGTCCCCTTTAGCTTGAGAATTTCTTAACTGATTTTTCCTTCTGCGCTCCCTGAGAGAGACAATAGCTGAAAAATCTGTCAGTTAAAACAGTTAAATGTGTGGTAAATAATAATTATGACTGAAAGATTGATTAATATTAAACCTATTGAAGTACTTAATTCCATCTTTTTTGTATTATTATAATTTTGCCATCTTGTTTTCCACTTTTCTGTTAGTACTTTCTTCCTGCGATTCAGATATTTAGGCTAGTTACACATCGATGGTTGGACTATGCGGCAGTAATGCAATAATATTACACATAGCTAATTTAAATCCATTCTGTTTCTTTAGACATCTCTTGTTTCTATGTACAACATAAACTATGTAGGGCACAGAGAATATTGAGCAAGAAAATGAAAGAGCTGAGAAGGGACAGAGGATGGCAAAAAGCATTGTCCACCTAAGTCTTTGCGTCAGCTTGCCTGAAGGTCAAAGGCTTCCTTGGTCCACAAAGAGATTTCGCGTATGTTCTCTTTACAGAAAAACTCATGAATTGGCCTTAAGAAGTATATGCTGTTCTTACTCTGCTTTAAATTTATTAAACCAAAATAACAGATTTTAATTTACCTGTGTGTCCTGCTGTCTGCCTAATTTCCTGTTGCAGAGGTATGACTCATGTTCAAGGGCTCTCTTAGAAGAACAATTAAATATCTCCATGATTGAAAATGGAAAATAAGCTATGCAGTGGATTAGCGCCCGAACTTGTTCACCTTGTGCAAGCTGAAACAATTCTACTTAAGATCACCAGTGGAAGTTAATTGGGAGGTCCTGCCCCAGATCCTGGTTACGCAGAGCACTTCACACATCACGGCATAAGCAGCCGTCGTGCTGGAGGTCGGAAAGGAAAGCAAAAAGATGAAACGTGGTAAAACTGCAGGCAGTAAAGTTTCTATCGCTTACCTCTTGCTCACAGTACAATTAGTCTTGAGCAGTAACAGTACTTTCAGTTGTACACTGGGACAAATTTTATTTAGAGCCATATAATAAATGCCTCCTCTGGGACTGTTTTGCCATTACCTCAAATGCAGCTTCTCAGTGCTGGATCACTTTGTCTCTTTTAAACAGCTGCTTTTCATTCCCTGCACATACACACGTGACTCAAGCCATCCTTGCGTACAGACACATACTAAATTATGTAGTAGAGACGTGTTTGGGTATTTGCAGCTCAGCGTACGGTCATGGTTTACAGCTCTTAAACATGCATCTTGCTATAAAGCCATAGAACTACTTAGAGGAAATCTTTGTAAAAGTCATCACCAAACCACGCTGAATGTTTTATTTTTGTGGTTGTTTGCAATCCTTTGCCTTCAGTCCATCAGCGTTTTAATTTCCATCTACCAAGTAAACATGGTTAGCAAAACCAGAAAACAAAGCAGGGTTATGTTTGCATTACTGAGTAAATGTACCTATATACTCAAGGAAAAATAATGGATAGAGACTTAATGAAATGCCTGAAGAAGATATTGAAAAAGTATTTTGACCCACTCTGTCAGTGTTACATTTTGTTGGCTCAAGTTCAGGAATATCTCCATTGCAATCTTGTTTGCCCCTGACACATAGAAACTCGTTATTGCTTTTCCTAGTGCAACTAATGGCCGAGTTGTACTGCGGAGCCCTAGAAGGACGAGGAGGGTTGCCATCTAACTTCTGGCAGCCCAGCGTTTTTCACTGGTGTGCTGCTCCGGAGAGCAACTGGGCTGTTCCCTTGACACTGTTATACAACATAAATGTGTACTGAATGTGGCTCGGGAGCCTTGCACTCGCTTGGCTGGAACACCCATTTCAAGGAGAGCCGTGGGGAGGCGAACCGGCGTGACTCATGGTTTCTGCAGGATTCGCTTTAGGTCAGTATGAGTCAGACCAGGCTTTGCTGAACATTTAGTCTGTTGAAAAACGTAGGGCTACTGGAAAGGTTGGTCATCGCTTTATCTGTTCGGGGCAAGGTCACAAAAAGCATTGCTGCGGAAAGGTTGCAGGTCAAATGTTGAAGCCCAGCTTCCTCCAAGTATAAAGTGAGTCTGAGCAGAGCTTACCTAGTGACCAAGAAGATGTCTTGGTAAGCTCTAAGTCTCCTCTTCCTTCCAAGGAAACCACTTCTTGCTGCAGCAGAGCATGCAGCTATTTTGCAAAACTTTCAGTACATTAAATGTTAATGTAATGAAGCTGATTCTGCTGGATGCAAAAAGTTTCTTAGGAAAGTAAAATAAATCTTGTTTTGAACTTCTTTCTGTGTATTTTAGACGGTGCGTCTCAAATCTTGTTAACTATGGAGCTCTATCGGTCTGCGACAGCTGGAGACAGAATTTATAGAATCATATATTATGGTGGCTGTTAAACTTTAATTCTGTTTAATTCTGGTTTTGATTCCTGTTTTTGCCCCCAAAACGTTATTCAAATCACTTATCTTTTCAAGCATTCAGTATTTGTAAGTTTAATTAACCTTATTAATCTATGTACTTGTGTAGTCATTTAATTTCCTTTTCATGTCGTCACAGTAAAAACTGGCCTTGTTCCAAATCCTGTTATTAAATACTTAGGACCTTGTATTTTGCATAAAGCCTTTATTTATCTTTTTATGTGTGTTACTTTTGAAGTTCAGTAGAGAAGGTTATCACAGAACTTTTCTTAACTATGGCACTAGGTTTGATAGTGACTCTTTGTGAGGTTAATGAACACGTCCAGTTGTGTATAGAAACTATAGAATGAGCGATTAAAGAAACAGAGTTTGAGAGAGGTTTAAGCTCTAAACTCTAGGAGGGTGCAGAAAGTCTGTTTTGTCTGCTGAGTTTTGGTGTGTTGAGGCTTACCCTTGCAAGTTAATATATTGATGTATCAAGATACCATATGGGTGGAATGCGAAGCACGTTCCAAAAGTGCGGTCTTCGTAAGATGAATTTTTCAAGTTTTCAGAAGAAAATATAGAACGAGATATTTTCTCAAAAAATAATACATGGATATTCGTTTGGTTTTTAAACTTCTGAGAGGAGATGATCTTCGTTTCATGATTTTTTGAGGTATTTCAAGTGTTTATCAAGTGTTCAATGTACAGTAAGTCTCGAAATACTTCAGGAGGATGAATTAAGAAGACTTGCTCATGCTACTGCTACAGTGATTAGGAGGAGTGCATTGTTGGAGGGAAGCATCTATGACAAAGAAATTCAGATAAAATCAGTTTAGATAAATTTAAGTTAAATACTTCTGTGTTGGAAATTTGCTTTGGATCACTGTGCTGTGTGTGAAAGAAGCAGAACACCGATTTCTCCGGGAGAAGAGTAACTTAACTAACATGCTTTTCAGTTGATGAATACTGCGTACAACCTATTCCATGTTAAAAACAGTTGGTCCTCCATAAAGTAGCCTAGTCTCTTAGAGCAGTAATAGCTTGCAGTCCTAACAAAGAAGGTAACCCCCACTTTTGTTAATACACCTCAATCTCTTATCTTTTAGCATTTCAGTTAATTTATTCTGTGTAAGCTATTGTGGGCTTAGGTCGTGGTTTTGAGCAAGTTTTTTTTACATGAAATGTCATATTTCACTGAGCCTATGTGCATAAAGAATCAAGACTAATGCCATAAAGCAGCTAGATCCCTGAGTTTTTCACATGCTCCCCGTGGTGTTTAATGTTGTATGCAAATGTGATTGATTTGAATGTTACAGCTTTGGGTTTTATTCTTCATCTCCCTTCTTGTTCTAGTTGCAAAGTTCAGTTTCTGCTCTTCCAGTTCTTTATCTCTCCTTGGGCAAAGATGGTTTGAAAGTTGTAGGTAGTGCCCTGAAAGGCTGTGACCTGCTGAAGGCTGAGTGTGATGCTCTGTTGGTTAATAGATTACATTACATCCTAACATAGCAGAGACTTCAGTGAGTTCCTCTGCCTGTCTGCAATGCTGTCAACTTTGAGAGCGTCACAGGGATGAGAAAAGAGTTTCTGGCGGTCAGACATTTAGCCTCCTGCGTTGGCTGGCCCTGGCTGAGATAACGTCTGTCGGTCCTGCCGTAGACTTTGCAGTCACCGCTAAGGTTTTGTGTCATCGTGTGTTACCCTTAAATCCTGGACTTGCAATCCTCCGTGCAGTGCTGCCCACTGACATGAGCATTTGTGTCAAGAAAGCCAAAGCAGATAGGCCAGCAGAGACCTTTCAAGAAGCCACATGTCTATTCTTTCTTTTTTTTTTTTCCATCCTTACTTTAGGAGCCCTGCAGGGAATCATTTCTGAGACTGGGGTTTCTTATTGCTTTGTACATCCCAGCGGGGGGGCTTTGCTGCTATACCTGCTGCTGCCCCTTGCCATTTCCCACCTCGAACTGCTCGACTGCAGCTGGGAGCAGCAGGAGCCCCTTGTGCCATCGTTCCCTGTCATTTCCACTCCACTGCTCTTGGTACTGGGCAGCTGGGTGCACAGCCAGCGCTCCCACTGCCTGCCGCAGCCTCCGAGATGTTCAAATACTGCTCGGACCTCTTTATGTCATCCCATGCGCTGTTGGAGGTAACATATAGTCATACAAAATTAAGAGCCAACTGAGAAACCAGTGTGCGTATCAGCAAAATAATCTGTACGGGAAGAAGAAATTCACCGTAGAAAGTCCAGAGGTACTGGTGTAGTTTTGGTGGTACTTTGGTGACTTGGCCCTAACGTAGCAGAATGCTGTGCTGCTTTTTGTTTTCTGAATATGGTGATAATTAAGATGCAGTTTTAACCGTAGTAATACAAGTCGAGCGATAGGCACTGTGAACCGTTTGCTGTGTGATTATACATCGTATGTAGGATAGCTTGTTTTATTCTGTATATGTGTAAAGGAAGAGGAGAGGTGAAAGGGCTTAGCTGGGACACGGGACTGTCAACTGGCGTGACTGAGGTGTGGATGCACATTTCTGACTGTGTTACACCATTTGAAATCTCAGCTTGCTGGTTATTTGCTTTATGGCGTGGCAGTCAGAGCCATTGGTCCTTGATACTTGGCTAAAAGCAAACAAATATGATTCCTGAGCTCTGTTTTCTGACCATGTGTGATTTAGCATGGCACGCTACACAACTGGGATAAACCCATTGTCTTTCCCAGGGGCAAAATAAGAACCCCCTGATTTCATTATGTTCATCATTATAATTTGGGCCTAAAACATTAAGCCGTAGATTTTTTTTCTCATGCTCAGAGTCAAAATTGTGCGATTATGTAGAAATGCTCCATGCTGGAGTAATAAGGGTCCCAGCAGGGAGATGGTGGAGAGGCAACAAAATAGAGAAGTACGGGCCTAAAACATTAAGCCGTAGATTTTTTTTCTCATGCTCAGAGTCAAAATTGTGCGATTATGTAGAAGAAATGCTCCATGCTGGAGTAATCAGGGTCCCTGTAGGGAGATGGTGGAGAGGCAACAAAGTACAGAAGTACGTGCTCAGTTGCATTTATCACAGAGGTCTGATATCACCCTCACAAGCACAGCTTTTCAGGTAGGTGATGTCATGTAGCCGTGTGAAATGGGCCTTGCACGTCTGTGATGTGCATGGTTATGTTTCCTACGTGTGTAGCCATATGGGAACAACCGCCATTTTCCTTCTGCTCGGCTTCCTTTACCGTATGTGCCCGTGTGAGTAGTACAAACATTGTTCTCCAGTTCTGCACAACGTGTAATGCAAGACCTGGCTTATTAGAATTTCTGGCAGTAACAAGGCTGTCACTTCGAAGAGGGATGGGAACTTTCAGTAATTAAATACTTGCATTTGCAACACAATGAGTATCTTCTTCCCCCCTCCCCTCTTTATAGAAAGTGTTATAAATTCCAATCCACAGAGTAAACTTGGTCTTAATTAGTTTTCTTAATTTGTATCTTAAAATAATTTGCGTGCGATCTTAGGTAAGCAGTTTTGCTCTGCTTCATGATGTTTTTACACCTATTATCCTTCATTTAAATTGTATCCTTGTTGTACAGTAATTAGAAATTGCCGCATATGTTACAGGTGTTCAAGTTTCCCCTCTACTTTCTCTACCCCTACCCAGTTGCCTTACAAAAACCTATTAATCTACAACACTGAACCATGCGTGCTGACATTCTGGTTTTAAATTGCAGCTCACCGCTGTAGATGCAGACGAGGGACCCAATGGACAGATAGTGTATGAAATTTTGGCTGGGGATAAGGGAGACTTCATCATCAATGACCGAACAGGCCTTATCACCATTGCTCCAGGAGTTGTATTGTCAGTGGGGCGATCCTATGCTCTCACTGTCAAAGCATCTGATAGTGCTCCTCCTGCGCAGAGAAGGTAATTCATCTTATAATGAAACTAATTTTTTAATCAGTGCTTAGCAGTGCGTAAGAAGTGTGGCATACCCTAATGTCTGTAACTCCGCACTGGACTACAATTCATTGTGTTCTGTTTGGTGTTAGGGTCACGTTTTGGAAAAGTGTCGTATTAGAAGTCTTCGCTTTTTGTTCCTTATTTATATTTTCTTTACAGTACACAGTTTTCATTATTTTGTTTGCTTGTTACAGTCTATTTTTTAAAAGTTCACATGTGCTGTCATTGCGCATGCCCATTTGTTAAGAGACATTGAAGTGAAGGGTTGCAAGGAAGAAAGCAAGTGAGAAGGGAGATGCTTTTTGTTCAGAACGCCGCTTACTGTGATGCAGAAAGGATCGGAAATAGTCTGGTTGTGGACCTGGAGACCACCTCTCCAGGTATAGGGTGTGCAAGGTGGTTCAGACTTTGCATACTTGCCAGGCTGTGCCAGTGGTGAGCAGTGCGCCCACTAAGACCTAAATTCTCGCTGGTAGACTTATTTCTGTTCTCCACGAGCTGATAAAGAAGAGCAGCCTGCAAATTTAGCATAGATAGAATAGGACGCTCTCATGTTCAAAAAAAAAAAAAGTATGGAGTCCCACTTACCTGCTTCTTTTGAGTTTCTGTTCTGCTTGTGGCAACTGTGCGCAAATGTCATTTCACAAAGGTGTTGGGGGGGGGTACATAAAAGTGGCTCTCATCTTCTGGGCCTGGTATTGATAATGTGACAACCTCTTTGTCCAAAGAGGATGACAGAGAGGAATAGCGGTTTCCAGCATTTAAATCTCCCACAACCTTTACGCTTTTTGTCAAATGTGGAATGTAAGAAGGAAAGATAACACAAAAATGGAGTTTCACTCATTGGCCTTTTTTCAGGACCTGCTGCTTCTGTTGTGTCTCCAAGAAAGCACTTCATGCTGTTGTGCACGTATTTTATAATTACGTTTTCCAATCACTGAAGTATTCAGATTGTTTGTTAGATTGTTCATAAAACCAATATCTGGTAACACAGTCTTCTAGTTGAATTTTCTTCTCCTTTCCCTCTTACTTGCTTTCTTGATAAGCGCTCTCTTAGGGTTGCTGATAGTAGGCTGTTAGTAGTGCTGAGGAGAAGATTGTGGACTATTATGTGCTTGCTTTTGTGTAGTACTAGCATAGTATTGAAGTGGAGGACAAAAATCAATAATCCCACTTCAGAGAGCTTCAGAATCTGGTGGTGTGGCCCCAGCAACAGTAGTCCCGACAATACAGCTTTGATTGCTGTCAGCTCCTTTTATGTTTGAGAATCTTTATATTGTCTAAAAATACATACTTCTGTTGATGTATGTGGGGAGCATGTGCTTCTTCCTCTGAAAATGTCCTTATTGCAATAATCTTCAAAAGTGGAAAAGCTCTCCTTTCTTGTTATTCCTGCTTGTCTCCCCTTTTATGGAATTACAGCATGTAATTTGCTTCATAGCTTTTAACGTGCCTTCAAAAAAACACTCCATGTAGGCGGTATTCCTGTAGCTGAGGTGAGTGGCCACAGGGCCAGTCTGGCCTTGACCTGAGGTGTATTTGGGGCCCAGAGCTGGTTTTTTCTGTGTCTGCGAAGATTAAAAAAAAATCAGGGGGAGGGCCACTGGAGGTTCAGCAAGGTGCCGTGGAGAAAGAACGTGGACAGCTCTTACTATCTGGTAAGGGACATTCGGGTAAAAAGATTTCGCTACCTTCCTGATGTTCTTTCTGTAAGGCTGGAAAACCAGAAAGAGCTGATGGTGCTTGAAGCAGCCTTTTGGCATTTTACACAGAGAAAAGCCAGAGAGAGCTCACGTGATCTCTGAGGTCTTCAAAACCATCCTTTTGCATCTCCTTAATTCATTCCTTCTGGATGTGAGGTGATTAGTAACTTGCAGTTGGGGTTGGATTGACTTCTTGCTCCTTCTAATGCAAACTTGTCACATTGTGTTAGGTGGTTCGGGTTGCCTTGCTGGAGGCAGTAACCCTGCCAGGCTAACTGTAGTCATGGGTAAACTGGCTGGCTTTCAATTATCCCCTTGCTTGTGCACAAAGCAAGACCAAACTACTAAACCTGGCTCTGGAACTGTAGCTCTATAGCCTCATTTAAATTGAAATGCATTCTGTGTAGCTTTTTTGCATAGTGCGACATATTAAATTCTTGGCAGGTGACTGCACGTAAAACAAGATTTTCTTTTTTTGAGTACTATTAAAGTTTCTATCTATAGCAAGCATCATTAATGTAAGTTATCAAGGTATATTTAAGTATTCTTAAGTACTTTATTTAGGTTTATACAACATATTACAGTTTAAATAGGAAGTGTATGTTTTTAGAACTGAAGTTATAGTTAAGCATAGAGTGATTAGCAGTTTCGATTATTGGAAAAAATGAGAACGTTATTTGTAAAACCAAAAAACTTCATTTCAGACCTTAGCCTTTTCACCATTGACCTCCGATTCCTGGGCAGTGGAAGCAGGTCACTTAGCGATAACAGAGATCTGCCAAATCAAGTCCAATCTAGAAAACACCTGATCATGAGATTGTTATTCTACATAGTGGGAAAGTACACTTTCTCTTTGACTTGCATATGCAGAGATTGTTTGACCAAAGATCTATTAGTCCACATGTATATAAAGATGTTAATTCTACATTATATAATGTAGTTGTATGTGGAAAGCACTTATAATTAAAGCAGAGACGGAGATGCAATCTCAGTGACTTGTTGACCGCGCTTCCCTTGCATTACCATTTAGCTGGAGTAGCGGAAAAGCCGTATTTCCATCCTTGTGTGGGGTTGTGAGCAGCGTTCAGTTCCTGAGCTCTGTTCTGTTCTCTCTGTATTCGCCTGTCCCTGCGGCGGTAAAACACCAGCTGCAGTTGTTGGAAGGCTCGGCGCTCTGTCTCCTTTCCTTTCCCGTGCCAGAGTCGATTTTATCAGCCACTTAGATGGGCTGTGTATAACGCATACAAAATGAACAGGTTAAAATTGCAAAGCGCTAATCAAAAGTGGGTTGGAAATGAAAAACAGTAGCTGTTTAATATTACAGTGCTTTTAGTTTGCAGACTGCTAGTGGTTTACTCCTGTGATCTTATCTTAAAGATTTGAAGAAGATTTGCTTACTATTGTGGTGAGCAGAAACCATGGGTTTTGGGGGGGTTTTTTATTTGTTTTTTAAGAGCTTGATAGACAATAAAATCAACTTGAGTATTGTTAACATGTGGCAGGATCAGGAAAAAAATTATACAGAACAATATCATTTATTAAATACTCAGCAGTGGAAGAAAAATGCATGCTAAGCCACAACTGTTTGGATGTGTATATCGTACACAGACAGCAGCTATCCCAAGAAAATGTGCAACCCCAGTGCTCAAGTGATATTTTGTCTGCTAATTCATTGTCTGTTGTTGAGCATTTGGTGATGGTATTTTTTTTACTCCAACGATGTAAGGGTGGAACATCAATTCAGAAAGATGAGTGGGATATGAGGGAGTATTTTAAAATAGAGAAGACAGGAAACTGACTGTAGTTTATGAAGAGCTAATCTACACTGAATGATCGACTTTAGTTGTCATTGTGCATCTTCCCCTGATTACACTGGTTTTGTTTATATCCATTGAGTCAGTAATCTGCAAATTCAGCTTCTTAAATGCCCAAGGATACGATGGACGGGAAAGATCTATCATTCACTGATGCATTTCAGTGCAAGTTGTGCACTTGTTTAAAGTTTGCTTAAATCAAATAAGGACCTGGCTATTATGTTCAGAGCAGTAAGGCCCTCATCTCACGTATCTGTAGATGGATGTGAATCCGACACTTGCTCCGGAGGAACATGGCTGTGGCAAGGCAGCATCTGCAGCATGGCTGTCCTTGGGAAGCTCGGAATTGCCCTGGACTAGCTGGTAGCCAGGGTTTTGGGGCACAGATGGATGTTTGAAAGGCTGTGATGACATGGCTAGCGGTGGAGCAGTTGAACATTTAAGGCTCGTTAGAGTCAACTTGTATATATTGTTAATATATAGGTGGTGGATTGACCTTGGCCAGCTGCCAGACACCCTCCCAGCCACTCTCTCGCTCTCCCTCCGCAACAGGACGGGGGAGAAAATAAGGTGAGAAAGCTCCTGGGTTGAGATAAAGACAGGGAGGTCACTTACCATCATAGGCAAAACAGATTCAACTTGGGGAAAAGTAATTTAACTTACTGCCAATTAAAATGGGTTTAGGTGGTGAGAAATAAAACCTAAAACAACAACTTCCACTAACTCCCCTTTTTTCCCAGGCTCAAGTTCACTCCTTCGTT